TCTAATCTTTATTTTATATAATAAATAATAATATTTATAATATCTGAACTGCAATAATTTATTTAAATCAATAAACATAATAATAAAAAAATTAAATTTTTTTTTCTTCTAACAACATTAATATTTTATTTAAATGTAAGGTTCCCGGAAGCAGATCCTCCAAGTTTTTCTCACAAAATACATCTGTCTGTGTATATTCCATTCAACTAGGCGCGAGCGATTATTTTCTCTTCCGGATCCTACTTAGATATCGGAGAAAGATAGAAATGACGAAATGACGAAAGGAACGTTTTCGTATTAAGCTCGCACGAGTCATGCAAAACAGTCATGCAGTGCAATTGCATGAGTTCACTCTGGGTATGAATCACCGGCGGCGAAACGCGAAACGTCGTCGGCCCGTCATAATAAGTAGTTGCAATGCAGGTGCGCGCTTCTTCGGACGCGACGCCTTCTCCCGCAGATCGCCTCTCTCTTTCTTTCGCGTGTCATCTCTAGCAGAGTAGACCGCTCGTTAACAACGCTTATAAATATTCATTACCGTCATGGAGCACCAGACGCATCGCGGCGTTTGCAGGCAGCTCGCGCAAGTCTGCCGAGACTCACACAGACTCTCTCGATCCCGATACTGCGAGACCGCGGCCACGAAGAGGTGAGCCGTTACGAGAAGAAAATAGATGATGATCCTCGTCCACCGTGCCATCGTTTCCTTCTAATGTCAAACGTTTTACTTTTAACGCGAACGGGCGAGTCGCCACGCCAGCACGAACACTCGCGATCCGAAAGGATACTGCGGCATCCCGCGGAAATGACTCCAAGATAAAACGCGTCAGTAATAATACGCGTGATTAAGTAATCGTTTGTTCTCTCCATCTTCGACAATTTTTCCAGGAACCAATGATGGGGTTCCTCGAGACATAGGCGAGTTCGTCGGGTGCGGCAGAACGATAACAAATTTGATTTAATCAAGTTTTAATTGAAAACTTCATGCTCAGTTTAAACCTGAGCATATGAGTAACAAAAATAGATGAATGATATATAATGATGTTTAATAAGCATATTCGTAATAATCGGTTCGAAAGAACTATGAAGAAAATATGAAGAAACTTGCATATATACAAAAAAATGATGGATATTCTAATTAAAATAATCTTGTCCACTAAAAATAATCTTAATTTAATATAGCAATATTGATGAAACAAATAATTTCACGATATTGCTTTTAATTAGAATGCTGTTAGCTAACGCTGTTATATAATATGTCATTTTTTTCCTACTTAGAGTTATCGCTGAACATTGCTTACATTTAGTATTTACAAATAATCTACAGTAAAATCATATAAGGTATGAAATACAGCAAACTGCTGCGTAAAATCGCGATTATACTATGTAACGAGAATTATTGAAATACAGAACAGTTTATAATTTAAAAACAAAATCAAATGCAACAAATATTACACAAATTATCTTCATTATGCTTCCAATTTATCTCTGAAATTATGTCACCATGTTTTAAAAATCTTAATTGTATATAATAAATAAGTAATAAATTTTTTATTAAATTTTCATTTAATAAAATAAATATATTAAAT